CTTTGGCTATTTTGATCTGCAGACTCCATGTTGAACCAGTTCCTCTTAGAAAACACTTCTCTCCATTCTGGTATGCATTTTTTCTATGAATCATTCCGCTTGAAAATCCGACGAAGGGATGCACGAAGAAAGTCCAAATCAGTCCTTACTGTAACGAGAAGAGTACAATGTGATCTCACGCCTCACAAGCTCGAGATATGTTTGAATAAGCAACTTTTTTCTCATTTTCAAGTACAAAAATTAGTTATTTTCAAAGTTACTGTCAAAATAAGTAACTTATTTTTATTTTTAATTTTTATCGATAAACAATTAGTTATCTAAAACCAGTTTAATTGTTCACAGGTATAAAAGTTACTTCTAAAGAACTTTTTAACCTTAGCGAAATTTAAGGCGATCTAATATATGTATGGAATATTCATCATATTCTTCATACATTAAATGTCAATCTGCAGTCAAGCTTCGAGTATAATCATTATCGATTCTACAGAGCCCAACAGTTAGGTGAACAAAAATTATTGAGTAAATTAAAGATTCGAGTGCTTTATTACAGCTTCTTGATCGATATTGTTGCTGGTTTTATCTTGAATAGGCGCCAGAACACGAAATTCATGCATTTGCCAGTCGGTTTTGGTATCTTTTCCGGCAGTTCCACGACAGCACACCAAGGATTTCTTTAGACCAATGCAGTCACCGACGTCGCCTCGAGAAGAATATAAGACATCACTAATTCTCCGTACCAAACGTGTTAATTAAAAAAAATTAAAAAATAAGACATCACAAATTCCATCTACTTTTTTTTTTTAAATGTAGTTCATTAAGCAACGAAGTAACAAACGGATACAAGGAGGATTTTCCTCCAACACAATGCCCTCCACAGACAGTTTAAGTGCTTCATATGACAAAGCATAAGCTACCAAAAAGCCAAACAAGACCCAAAAACATACAAGAAAATGAAACCAAACAAGCCCCTAATTCCATCTACTTGAACATGGATATTTATGACTAGCAATCTCAATCAAAATAAAAAACAGATACTATTTGTTGGGTTTTGATACTCAATACATCACATGCCAGATGTAAATGTTGGATTAAATTGTTACCAACAATCAAGTCTAAAATCTCAATTCGAAAACAAGGATATAACTTAAACCATTAATGTTGCTCATGACTTATATATATTACCTCTTGGATGGTTTTGAATCTTGACCTATTTAACCTCTTTTTTTGGTCTAACTAAGCCTCACGCCTGTATATATGGTGTCTTTGCCCTAGTTGCTTTGTGTGTTAGAAGTAGAAAAACCAGCAGCTTGCTTGGAGAGAAAAAATCGGTGACTTTCTTTATGTTTTGGCCTCCATCTCATGTTTCTTCCCATGTTTTCCTCATGCCTTCGTGGCCTACAAATTATCACTATTATCTTGTACTTTGTGGGTGAGATTGAGAAGCAACCGAAGTGAATATATTGGTTGTGGGTTGGAGTCGTTTGGATTGGTTGTTTGGAAGAGAATTGTAACGTGAAATTGAGCCAGGGAAAACACAGTTTTGACAATTTTTGGAGTAAGATTCCGCGACACTATTCATGCAAAATCAAGCAAATTGTTGAAGTTAACCAAAATAAAAAATAAAAAATGATGATGATGGCTCACTTGGAAGATTCCATGGATCGTAAATGTTGATATCAGTCTGTTTGATAAGTTCAATACTATAGGCTGTAGCTGTGAAGGCATGACCTTGCACTCGATACAAATTGTTTGTGAATTCACAATCTTACACAAAATTATCGAAAGTCATTTTATTACAACAAATACAGTTTGGTATAAGCATATCAGTCAGTGTTTTCGACACAAAACTATCTCACAATGTCGTCTCGAGATTTCGGTAAATTATTAAGTTTACGAGTTACGCTCAATAATTCTTGATGTCAACAAATCTTAATTGCTACCAACCATAAAAAAATTAATATTCACGTAAAATTTAACTGTTTGAGATAAACATATTTACTTATTTAAATGTAATTAGTCTACAAAAAATGAAACATTGAAAAACGACAGTTGTTGACAAGACATTGGCTAATGCTCACAAATCTAATAGAATTTATTCTCATGAGTTACTAATTATTTACATTCCCTTTGTCAAATACACAACACGCGATATTTTAACAAACATTTTAAACATAAGTTATCTCTAACAACTCAATAGTGATGAAATCGATATATGAAGATCTAAATGCAAAAAAAAAATAAAAATAAAAATAATAATAATAAATTAGTCCAAGTATTTGTTGTTGAGCCCGATTTGTTGTCCCTAAATAAAATCTTTATACTTTACTGAAATTATAGTGTCGAAATTAGTAGTTACATATCAAAATTTATAGTGAAAATCTAATGAGGTGTTAACATTTTGTTGAGTTCACATTGCTATCGAGCTTAGGTGCAATTAGTGGTGGCAATGGGCCAGTCAGCTTGGCTCATCTACCAATGAGCTCGGCTCGAGCACGAGCTCGAACTTTTTTTTTCTCACATTGTTTACAAGCCCACGAGCCGCTCGTCAAAACAACGAGCTGAACAGGCTTGGCTTGGGCTCGTCTTTTGACGAGTCCGAGCCGCTTTTTTAAGAGTCGAGCGGCCGAGCCGATGGGCTGCTCGACTCGATTGCCACCTCTAGGTGCAATCTTCCTAACAATTGTTGAGTCATAAAATAAAGACCCAACAATCTCCCCATCCTTAATATATATATATAAAAAAAAAGGACTTAGCAACCAATTTATGCCTTCTTATATAGAGCAAAACATTTTTAATTGAATCTCGCACTTTTGTAGGCGAGTTCTGAGTTTAAATTTCTTTTACATTTTTCTTTGACGGAAAGTTAGAAAGAAAGCATAGATCTTTGAATTCTTGATCTCAGAGGTAAACACAATAATTCCTAACTAATCGAGACAAGAAGAATTGGTTGAACTTGAATTTTGTCAACAACTCATCTATACACTAGTTCTTCTATAATAATTATTTTCGAATATGTTATAAAATTTAATTTGAAATAATATTATGTCATTTATACCTTAAGATAAAATTTATCTTTTTCAAATTCAATGCATGAAAACATATAATAATCCATAAAGACACAAATTGCTTATCCAAATTCATTAAAAAAAGAGTATAGAAACTAACGATATTATTTCAGTCCAACGAGGATCTAAATAATTGCACACTGGACCCCAAAAGCAATTGCTTTCTGGAACCCCACCCCCACCAATTTTTTTAACTAGATTTCACAAAATAATGGAGCAATAATACCTCCAAGGCGGACCATATGGAGGATTGGACCACTCTAACTACTGTGAAGGCACTTGATGCAAGATTGTCCACTTGTGTTGTTGGGTTGGGTTGGATTTGATTGCTAGTTGCTAGGTCAGCGTCGCATGCATTATCGCGGAGGCCATTGCAAGTCCTTACTTATGCTACATCTCAATTATTCAAGATCTCTGGAATCATTTCATCTGAAAGTTTAGCCTCTGATGTTCTATTTGCAAATCGTTTATTAATGTAGCATCCGTTTAGTTCTCATTATTCTCTCATTTCTCATTATAATGAGAATTTGATTTTTGGATTAGCAATTTTTTGAAGAATATGCAGTTAAAAATAAAAGAAAAATTTTCAATTTATGTGCAATATTATTTTATTGAAAAATATGTAGTTGATAAAAAAAAGAGAGAAATGAATTATAATGTAATGGGGCTAAACAAATGCTTAGTTAAAATCAAACATTAATTTCAATTTCACATTCTTCATTACTACTTAACCCATGTTTGATTCCATTATCTAAAAAAAAATATTTTTTTTTCCTCAAACTCATTTTCAACAATCTATTCTTCCAATACAATAATTTTTCACGTAAACTTAAAACCTTTTCTTACTTTTTAACTATACATTCTTCAAAAATTTACAATTACAAAACTCATTTTTTTTAGAAAAATGGGGTTCAAACACATTATTATTCAATTCACACATTTCGTGAGATCCACTGCCACAACCATTCTCAATAGTTTGGTCCAACCACTTTGCTGTGTTTGGCTAAGCTTAAAAGCAGCTTATTAGCTGCTTTTTTCCAACAATGTCATGGGACAAGAACCCAACCTAGAACATAAAATCATATGGGTACCAAATAAGCCCCTGTTTGGTGTACATTAGGTCTTGTTTGAGCCATCTTTTTGTAGAATGAGAATGAAAAATATAGTCGTTATTGGAGCCCATACAAAAGACAGAAAATTTGAATTTAAATGTTAACGTGATGGATAACGATCATATTTTTCATTTTAATGATATAAAAAAGTAGCTCCAACGGGGCTTAAAGCCAAATTAATGCATTCATTCTGTCACATCATGCACAGCGACCACTTGACGCAACTTCCATTCAATTGCATTTTAGTCATTCATTCCATTTATGCCCCTATTAAAATTGTTACACACGATCCACAAAAAATTGATTTCATGGACTGCAAAAGGGTAAAGATGGGAAAAAAATTGGAGCAGGTACAATTTGATGTATGACTGGCACCGCAAGTTGTCAGCTAATTACTGTATAACGTTTCAATTTATTCTGATGCAAGGAAAAAAAGGTGGCCCCAACAGGGGCTAAATAGGAAGGAATATGATAAGGTTTCCCCTCCTACGATTCCTCTGTCACATCAATTAATTAACTACGATCCTACACTTCTGGTCATGTAATTAAAATACTTAAATTTCCAACTACTCATACGGTTCCAAGTGTATGTCTACTTAATTGAGATTTTTATTATTATTTTCTTTATAAATTTGTAACCCAGATTTTTATTTTGTAGCGCACTACTCGATTAAGCCCTCAAAGAATATCCTGCTTAGCTCCTAAAGTCCTAATGGCCATCTTTGAGGTCCTTTCGATGTTTTTATGCATGATTTTTCTTTATATCTTGAGATGCAGAAGATTGAACAAAAGCTTAGCGCCGACATATTTTCCGTTAGTCGGAATGCTGCCGGCGGTTCTTCAAAATGCTCATCAGCTACACGATTACGCCACGGCCGTCCTGAACGAATGCGGCGGCACATACGAGTTCAAAGGGCCCTGGTTTGCTAACATGAACATGTTGGCCACTTGTGATCCTGCCAATATCCATCATATTATGAGCAAAAATTTCTCAAACTACCCCAAAGGTCCGGAATTCAAGAAAATATTTGATATTCTGGGAGATGGGATCTTCAGTTCTGATTCTGAATTATGGGAACTTCATAGAAAAACCACCATGTCCCTAATGAATCATGCAAAATTTCATCAGGTCTTAGAAAAAATCATTTGGGACAAGATTGAAAATGGGCTCCTTCCTGTTCTTGATCATTTCAATAAAATGGGAAATGAGATTAATTTGCAGGAAATTTTTCAGAGGTTTACTTTCGACAGTTCATGTAAATTGGTACTGGATTATGATCCATGCAGTTTGTCCATTGATTTACCCTATATTCCATGTGAAAAAGCTTTTAATGATGCAACAAAAGCCCTTTTGCATAGACATATGTTGCCAGAAAGCGTGTGGAAGCTCCAAAAATGGCTGGGAATTGCTACGGAAAAGAAGCTGGCTAAAGCTTGGGAGGCATTTGATCAATTTATATATCCTTGCATTCCATTAAAGGAGGAACAGAGCAATGGCACCAAAGTGCAAGATGAAGATTTTAGCTTGTTAACTGGATTTTTGAAAGCATACAAAGGAAAGAGAAGTGCTTCTGGTGATGAAAGAGACTTCATGAGAGACACCTTATTGGCCTTGATCTTTGCAGGTAGTGTATTAATTTTATAAATGAGCTTAGTTCAATATTTTGAATCTTTACATCTTCTGATATCACGTTGAATTACATTATCTAACAACATAGATTGATATAGAGAGTGCACATTTTTATTTATTACATCTCCTTTTCAACACGCCTCTTACAAACGAGATTCAATTTTCTAGTACAATTCTTGACACTTTGTACAATTATTTTGTCTTAAACACATCTCATACAGGTCATATTTAGCACTCGTTTGATTTAGTTAAAAATCATATTTTTAGTAGACGTTAACGAAATGTGTGGATGAAAACTTGTATGTCCTATGAAATGCATGGTTGGAAATGAGTTTTGAGTAAAAATAAGGGTCAAATATGGGCTTATTTATCTTTATTAGAAAATGCTGTGTACAATTTCTATAAAAAGGTGATAGTGAAATGATACTCCATCTAAAACCTTAAATTTTGAGGATTACGAATTTATTTATTGTAGCTTTGTCAATGACAGGTAGGGATACCACAAGTACTACTCTAACATGGTTTTTCTGGCTGATTGCCTTAAATCCCCGGGTGGAAATCAAGATACTTGAAGAGATTCAAACAAACTTCCACGACAAAGAAGACAAAACGTGCAGGTTTTTTAATGCAGAAGAATCTCGAAAATTAGTCTACCTCCACGGAGCATTGTGCGAGACTCTTAGGCTATTCCCTCCCGTGGCACTGGAACACAAATCACCAGTTCGACCGGACATCCTCCCAAGTGGTCACTGTATCCCTCAAAATACTAAAATAATCCTATTCTTTTACTCAACAGGAAGGATGGAGAGAATATGGGGCAAAGATAGTTTAGAATTCAAGCCGGAGAGGTGGATTTCCAAGCACGGTGGAATAAAGCACGAACCGTCATTCAAGTTTCCAGCGTTCAATGCTGGCCCAAGAACCTGCATTGGTAAGGAGATGTCTTTTGTGCAAATGAAAATGGTGGCAGCAACTATGATATATAATTACCATGTTCAATTGGTGGAAGGTCAATCAGTTTCTCCTAGTGATTCTATCATAATTCAAATGAAACATGGTTTAAAGGTCAAGTTATCCAAAAGACATGCCTGATACCAGTACATCAGAACAATAAAATTATGTAGATGCTGAATGCTTTGGAAGAAGGGAA